ACTCTGAAAACTACAAAACATTGATGAGAGGAACTGAGATGGCACAAACAAATGGAAAGATATTCTATGCCCCCCCTGAAAGATATTTCCTGTTCATGGATTAGAAGGAAAATACTATTAAAATATCCATACTACCCAAATCAATCTACAGATTTAATTCAATCCCTACCAAAATACTAGCATCATTTTTTACAAAGCTAGAACAAAGTATCCTAAAATTTCTATGAAACCACAAAAGATCAAGAATAGCCAAAACAATCTTGAAAAAGAAAAACAAATCTGGAGGTATCACAATTCCAGATTTCAAGTTATCCTACCAAGCTAATCAAGACAATATAGTACTTGCACAAAAATAGACACACAGAACAGTAGAACAGAATAGAAAACCCTGAAACAAACCTGTGATTATATGGTCATTTAATCTTTGACAATAGAGGCAAGAGTATGCAATGGGAAAAACACAGTCTCTTCAATAAATGGTGTTGTATAACTAAATAGCTACATGAAAAAATAAAGAAACTGGATCACTTTCTTACACCATACACAAAAATAAATTCAAAAGGGATTAAAGACCTAAAGGTGAGACCTGAAACCATAAAAATCGTAGAAGACAGCACAGGCAGTATTTCTCTGACATTGGACATAGCAACAATTTTCTCAGTATGTCTCTTGAGGCCGGAGAAATAAAAACAGAAATAAACTATTGGGACTGCAGCAAAACAAAAAGCTTCCCTACGACAAAGGAAAAACAATCAATAAAACTAAAGACAACCTACTGAATGGGAGAAGATATTTGCTTAGGGGGTTAGTATCCGAAATCTATAAAGAACTTGTATAACTGAAGACCCCAAAAACAAATAATCCAATTAAAAATGATCAAAAGACATGAACATACTTTTCTCCAGACATACAGATGGTCAACAGACACATGAAAAGATGTTCATCATCACTCACCATCAGGGAAATGCAAATCAAAACTACAGTGAGATATCATATCACACCTGTCAGAATGGCTAAAATTAAAATCTCAAGAAACAACAGGTATTGGCAAAGATATGGAGAAAAAGGACACTCACGCACTGTTAGTGGGAATGCAAACTGGTGCAGGCACTGTGGAAAACTGTATGGAGGTTCCTTAAAAAGCTAAAAGTAGAACTACCTCGTGATATAGCAATAGCATTATTAGGTATGTATCTGAAGAATACAAGAACACTAATTCAAAGGGATACATATAGCAGCATTATTTACAATAGCCAAATTGCTATTTACAATAACCAAATAGCAACATTATTTACAATAGCCAAATTTACAATAACCAAATTACAATAGCTGAATATTATTCAGCTATAAAAAAGAATGAAATACTGCCATTTGCAAGGATGTGGATGGAGCTAGAAAGTATTAAACTAAGGAAAATAAGTCAGTCAGAGAAAGAGAAATACCATATGATTTCACTCATATTGGAACTTGAGAAACAAAACAGATAATGAAAGTGGAAAAACAAGAGACAGACAAATGAAGAAACAGACTCTTAATTATAGAGAACAAACTGATGCTTACCAGAAGGTGAAGGGTGGCGGAATGGATTAAATAGGTAATGGGGTTTAAGGAGTGCACTTGTAATGAGCACCAGGTGATGTATGGAATTGTGGAATCACTTTATTGCATATCTGATTCTGATATAACACTCTATGGTTAACTAACTGGAATTAAAATAAAAATAAACACAAGAAACAAAAAATGTTGGCGAGGATGTAGAGAAAAAGGAACTTGTGCACTGTTGGTGGGAATACAAACTGGTGCATCCACTGTAGAATACAGAAGGGAAGCAGAAGTGAGTTGGGGGAAATTGGAAGGGGAGAGGAACCATGAGAGACTGTCGACTCTGAGAAATAACTGAGGGTTTGGGAGGGGAGAGGGGTGGAGGGTGAGGTGAGCCTGGTGGCGGGTATTAGGGAGGGCATGTATTGCATGGAGCACTGGGTGTGGTGCATAAACAATGAATTTTGGAACACTGAAAAAAAAATAAAATTACCAAAAACAAAACAAAACAAAACAAAAGGTGCTAAAGAAAAAAGATACTGCAATAAAAAATTGTGAAGAAAAGGAAAAAAAAAAGAAAACAGTTTGTAGTTTCCTCAAAAAGTTAAAAATAGAACTACCCTATGATCCAGCAATTACACTACTGGGTATTTACCCAATGAATGCAAAACACTAATTCAAAAGGATATATGACCTCCTGTGTTTATGGCAACATTATTTACAATAGCCAAATTATTGAAGCTTTCCAAGCATCTATCGACAGATGAATGGATAAAGAAGTCATGTGTGTGTGTGTATGTATATGTATATATGTGTGTGTGTGTATGTGTACATATATGTATATGTATACATATAAAATTAAATCATAAAAAGAATGAAATCTTGCCATTTGCAATAATATGCATGAAGTTAGAAAGTAAAATACTAAACAAAGTAAGTCAGAAAAAAGACAAATACCCTATGATTTCACTCACATGTGGAATTTAAGATATTCATGTATTTAAATTGCAAAAAGGATGTCAGAATATATTGCTAGAAGTCCAGAATAGCGAGTATGGTCCCATCTTTTTCATTCATGCTTATAATGTAAAATATACCATATGTCACATTCACAGTCACAACTCCTTAATTTTTTCATTTAGCAAAAACTAGAATTACATCAGAGACCAGTAGAATATAAATGTCTGAGACCAAGAATGTAGCTTAATGTGACTGGGGAGTAGATTTCATGAATGGAAGCGCTGGGAGATAAAAATGAAGATGGAAATTCAGGTAGGGACCAATTTGTGAAGGACTGGAAATCTGTGAAATTGGATTAAGATGTTATTTCAGAGGTAAAATGCTACCATTCAATGTTGTTTTTTTGTTAAGAGATGGAAGGTTATTAGAAGTTTTAACTCAGGTGTGCCTGGGTGGCTCAGTGGGTTAAAACCTCTTCCTTCGGCTCAGGTCATGGGCCCAGGGTCCTGGGATTGAGCCCCCACATCACATCGGGATCTCTGCTCAGCGGGAAGCCTGCTTCTCTCTCTCTGCCTGCCTCTTTGCCTACTTGTGATCTCTGTCTGTCAAATTGCCTATTTTTTAAAAAGTTTTAACTCATAACAAAATGTGAGTTGGGTTTCAGGAAAATATATATGTTTTCTTTTGTGACTGGAGAATAAAAATCCTCTCTGAATCTGTACCTTGGCAGCACCTGTCTAGACAAAGAACCTGGTGCTCTCCTGGGGGAATGGAAAGACTAGATTGGGGGATCCTATCAGATCTGATCTCAGTTACACTTTTTTTGTAGCTCAAAATTGGTGCTGCTTTCCACAAGATTCTCCTAAGATATAATCAGCACACAAACCACACACTTCCATCTTGTAAAACATACATATTCATTTGTATAAGCATTGTTTTATATAGCCCAGTTTGGCAAAATCCATGGTCTTGAACTGCCTGCTTTGCTACTGTAAGAAAGCATCTGACATGTAGAAAACGTACAAGGTAAGTGGCCTCCACATGTGAAAGTAGTGTTCTCTGAAGAAATTCCTGAGCACAGGATAACTAAATGTAACAGTATTTATTACCATCAAGAATTTAAGGAAGGATTTCAATTGTGGCTGCAGATGGCAACCTTATGTAATTTTTTTCTCCTTTCCCAACATTTAACCACATAACTTGATGGTTGAGAGCTAGGATTTAGCCCAATTATTTTGATAGCACTCCCTGAAAATAAAGCAGCTGACCCCTCTTCCTGGTCAAAGTGCTTGGATTATGCTTCCTCAAACACATGACCAACCTCTAAATAACCAGGCCCTGTTCTGGTGCCGCCATTCCCACCCTGTGGAGCCCCAACCAATTCTGTTACACTGCTAAATTAGAAAGCAGGAAATCCAATTATTCCTGACTCACCATCTGTATCCTCATTTCCCACCCATCCTGGGAGACTTTGGCTCTAGCTACTTTGGCTAACCATCTGTAATGCAAATTTATTTGTACTTTCACATCTCTGGGTCTTTTCTGATGGTGATCCTTCAGCCTAGAATTCCCTTATGGATCCTTTCTATCCTAGCCATTACTTAGAGCTCAATTCCTCCTTGACGCATGTGCCCCATTCCAAGATATCTCAAACTAAGCTGTAATTAATTGCTTGCTCCTTCTGTGTTTATACCGTATGTTAATTGACCCTACATTAGAGCAACTATTTCCATCTACTTTATATGAGTCATTTTAAATGAATAGGGTTAAACAAACTTTGAATGGCAGATGGTGTCAGAGAAAGTACTTATGCTTGAAATTGACAGACTTGGGTTCAAATCCTGTTCTCTTCCTTTTGTTGCTGCCTGATTTTGAACAGTAAATTCATTTCTCTGACTCAGTTTTCTCATCTGTAAAATGAGGGCCATTAAGAGTAGCTACCTCATAGCTAGCATTAAGTGTTTTAATATGGGGCAAGTGGAAGTACCAGAAACTGCCTGGTACATAGTAAATGTTTCATAATGGTTAGCTCTCTTTATTATCACCATCGTTTGAACCTACCCCAGAATGTAAACTCCACACAGAAAAAAATAATCATATGTTTGTCCTCTGATGTGCCCCCAGAACTGTGCCTGGCATGAAGTATATTCTTAAGAAATGTCTGTTGAGTGTGTGGATGAATTAATGGATCCATAAAATAATTCTCATTGTTAGCATCCTCCTCTTCCTCTTTGACTCTTCTACTGTCTCTTAACGTGGTACTTTATACTTCACACAAAAACTATCAAGTAGAGGGTCACTGAACATCTCCCATCCCTTGTTCATTTTGCTTTACCTCCGTTTTTTGCCCCCTTTCTTGAATTCTCTGTCCTAACAAGTTTGAATTCAACAGTAACCACTTCAGCCTAGCCTTGCTGACAGAGGTAGTGCGCGCGGGGGGGGGGGGGGGGGGGGGGGGCTGGGAGCGGGGAGTGGCCACCATGTCGCAGAAGCAGACTGCGCCTGCGTAGGCTGCGGCAAAGCTAAGCACTGAGAGGGTCGCTGTCATTGCTCACTGCTGTTTGTATGGAAAGATCACTCCTCTCACCAGCTCTCACTCCCGATCCCGGGTCTCCGGCTTAGGACTTGGGCCGAGGCTCCAGCATTCCTACCATCCTCTCTCTGACAGATTGCTGACCTCCCCGTTCCTGCTCCTGGCTCCTGAAACCATGTCTCTGGTAAGCCAGAATGTGCGCCGCGGCAGCGCAGAGACCGCTGCAGATTACAGCGACTGCCAGGGTGAGATGCAGGCTAGTAACGCCTCCGGGGCCCCGACCTCCATGCTAGTTCCCCAGGCTCTCCAGGGCCCTCATACGCCAATCAACCCTCAGGGTGCCAGCGCTTCCCAGGCTGCGCAGGACCCGAACGACCTCGAGGTCCTAATCGAAGAGCAGTCCCAACGTTTGGGGGCGCTCAGGGTCCACGACCCTCTGGAAGACAGGTCGATTGCTTTGGTGAATTTCATGCGAATGAAAAGCCAAACCGAAGGTTCTATCCAGCAGGCAGAGATGCTGGAGTTCCTCAGAGAATACTCAGATCAGTTCCCTGAGATCCTCAGACGAGCCTCAGCCCACCTGGACCAGGTCTTTGGGTTGAACCTGAGGGTTCTTGATCCCCAGGCTGACATTTACAACCTAATCAGCAAACGGGGTGTCCAGACCACTGATCGGATAGCAGAATCCCTGGATGTGCCAAAGGCAGGTCTCCTGGCCTTGGTCCTAGGCCACATCCTCCTGAATGGTAACCGGGCAAGAGAAGCATCCATTTGGGACCTGCTGTTAAAGGTTGATTTGTTGGGTGATCCCCAGAGGATCAACAACCTTTTTGGGAATACAAGGAACCTGCTCATTACTGACTTTGTGCGCATGCGGTTCTTGGAGTACTGGCCAGTGTATGGCACTAATCCCCTTGAATTTGAGTTCTTGTGGGGCTCTAGAGCCCACAGGGAAATCACAAAGATGGAAGCCCTGAAGTTTGTGGCAGAGGCCCATGATGAAGAACCCTGGAGCTGGCCTGAAGAATATAACAAGGCCCTAGAAGCTGACAAAGCCAAAGAAAGAAGACAGGCTGCTGGCTTGGAATTCTGGTCAGAGGACACTATGAATGATAAGGCCAATGATTTGGTCCAGTTGGCCATTAATGTCACTGAGGAGTTGCTGCCTATACATCAGGATGAGCTACTGGCTCACACTGGCAAAGAATTTGAGGAAGTGTTCCCAAATATCCTCAGTCGAGCTACTCTAATCCTTGATCTGTTCTATGGGTTCTCTCTGATTGAGGTTGATACCAGTGAGCACATATACCTCCTTGTCCAGCAACCGGAATCAGAAGAAGAGCAAATGATGTTAGACAGCCTGGGAAGACCCCCTCAAGAATATGCGATGCCAATTTTGGGTTTGATCTTCCTGATGGGCAACCGTGTCAAAGAGGCCAACATCTGGAACATGCTTCGAAGATTTGGTGTGGATGTAGGAAGAAAGCATGCCATCACCTGCAAGCTTATGAGACAGCGCTACTTGGAATGCAGGCCACTGTCCTACTCTAATCCAGTTGAATATGAGCTTCTGTGGGGTCCTCGTGCTCACCTTGAAACCACCAAAATGAAAGCCTTGGAGTATATGGCCAGGCTCTACAGAAAGCAACCACAAGACTGGCCAGAGCAATATAGGGAGGCTGTTGAAGATGAGGAAGCCAGAGCCAGATCTGAGGCAACTGCCATGTTCTTTTTTGGCTCCATGTGAAATCTGGGGAAATGTATCACTTTAGTTGTGTGGCATCAGTTAAAGAGGCCCTGGGAAAAAGGGCACTGGGGCCCCAAATCAGAAGTCAGTCGGGGCTGGGGTGGAAAGTACACATTGTGCTTGCTATTGTGTCCTATTCCTAATGGTACTTCTTTCCTTCCTTATAATGTACCCTTGAATTAGGTTCATGATCAATGTTTATAAATAAAATTGCTCATTTACCATCCCTGTCTTATTTTAATGTAAAAGCTCAGATAGTTGTGTAAAATGTATTGGTAATATTTACATCTTTCTATGATGTGGAGAATATAAAGTTGTTCTTTAACTGTTTGAAATACTTAGTAAAATGGTGTGGTGCAAAAGTTAAGCAACAATAGTAACAACACACACAACAAAAACAAACACAAAATCACTTATCTGTGGATGCCTTGTTTGTGTCTGTTCTTGTGTAAGGAAAAAAAAAAGCTGGCATTTACCTGTATTTGCTTTGCTGTTCCAAAATGTAGTGAAAAATAAAATTATAATGAATTAGACCCTATGCTTAAGCAATCTTTTATTCAACAAATATTTATTAAGCACCTGCCATGCTCTGTGCTTAGAATATAAAGATGAAGAAGACCCTGCTGAACCCCCTGGGCTTAAGGGGGAGGGGCCATGGAAGTAAACCAGTAATTGTTTTATTGCTGCGACAAGATGTATAATAAGGGTAAGCTTAGAGTGCTAGGGGAGGCCACAGGAGTAACTTCCAGCTAAATGGTAGGTGCTGGGAGGGGACAGTGGAGAAGACAATGGCGCACAAGAAGGGGTAGGGGAGGGGGAGGAGGTATCACGCAAAGGATTAGAGGGGGATTGGACGAGGTGGTGACAGGGGATAATGAGGTGGTATGGAGGGCTGAGGACAAGTTGTCTTTTAGTTACTTCTATTCCAGGACCCAAGGTTGGAGTGGGGGAGGGAGAGATTGTTTATGAAGTCAGGATCAGTATGTAAAACACCTTTTGCGGGATTCCCAAAGACAATGTTCAGTTAAAGGGGGAAGTGGGAGAGGGAAGCCTGTGGCAGAGATAAGGAAGACCCATATTCTCGAGAGTGGGTCTTAGGAATCAACAGTGGTTCTCCTGAAGGCAGCTGGTCTTGGATATTGGGTCAAATCGAACAATCCACCCGGAGCTCTGCCAAGCAACCTTTGCCAGTGCTGTTTATTTCTGCACCTAAGCTGTTAAGGTGAGCACTTTGGCTATCTTCATCCTGATCCTTCACGCAGCTTCTAATCCTGCTCACAGCTCTCCCTAAGCTTTCCCTAGAAAGCCTGCAAATAACAATCTCTATAAGGGAGGCCTGGCTCAGGAGTGGATGTTATATGGAAAATCACCTATGATGCAGGGGGGAGGGTGCCTATCAGTGACATAGGTTTTATGCTTACTCACTCCCTGGTACCCATAAGTTTTCTGTCCTTTCATCCATTTAATCACTAAGGGCTACCCCTAAACTGCCACCTCCTAACATAGGAAAGAAGACTCTCCTCACATTTTCGTCAGCCTCGGGAAGAGAATGACACAACCGTTTTGCCGGGGGAGGGGACTAGAAGAAGGGAGATGAACAGTTTTGGTCTCAAATCCCGCTGCCTGCAGAAGTCAAATTAGAGCTGCCAGCTTGAGAAAGCCATTGCGCATGCGCACTCCGCGGTTGCCCGGGAGATACAACCCCCACCTTGTCTCAGTGATCTCCCCTATCATAGCATTCCGGAAAAAAACTGAACACTAAGGGCAGGATTTTCAGTAATGAGAAAATGCGTAGCTAGAGAGCTAGAGCTAAAGGGGTTCTGGAAAATGGGATGGGGGTGGAGTTATGAGGTAGGAGAGTATCTGAGTAGGATCCTGCCTACGTGCTGAGAGCCTCTCTTTCTTTAGTCTCCTTGAACCCTTAATCTGTACATGCTTGTAGGATAGGGGAGAGGGGCAAGTGGATTAACATATCAAGTTTTCCTTGCTCTGGTTTTTTGGATGGTGCAGTTTCTGGATCCTTGAGAACATCAGCTTTTCTGGGAGTACCTATAGAGAGACACCTGCCAAGAGGAAGGTATAGCGTCCAGACCGACAATAGTGTAAAGCTGCCAACTTCTTTGGTACTAAATTTGTGCTAGGTACTGTGCTGGGTTCTTCACCTCCTTTAGCTCTAATCTCTCCACCAGTTCTCCAAGAAGCATTTTGATAGCCTCATTTGACAGTGTAGAAAACTGAGGTTTAAATAATATGCCCAAGGTCCCATAGGCAGTTGATGAATGCTGGGATTGGATTCTAGGGCTGCCTTTGGCTATGGTTCACCCTCTCTCCAGTACACTACACCATAGGCCCCCTCCACCTTGTGCTATGTCTTCACTCGAATTTATTGATTCTCAAGAAATACAAGGAAGGGCTGCATGACATGATGGAAGGGGCAAGACAACAGCCATCTGGAGGAGGATGAAAGTGAGGCTGAAATTTTCCAGGCTCTTAACTTGTTCTATCACTCAGGCTCCATCAGAGCTGTCTAGGTGTAGAAAGTGCATTTTCGTTTAATCTCCCTACTCTGTCCTATGAGTCTTCTCCAATTTGCCCTCTTCCTGCAAGCTTCCAGCCTTATCTGCTGGCTTTCACCCAGAGAAACTCAAACATCAGCATTTCTGGACCCCTAGAAATGTTTGGCAATGTGTTTTGTAATCCTGAAAGAACAATGACCTGACAGAGCTCATGTTTTGCCAAGGGGAGCCTGGGAAGCAAAAACAGAAGTGGGAAAAAGCCCCTGGGTCAAAGATGCCACTTGTAGTTTTCCAGGAGTGACAAAGCTGAGACTTGAATGGAGCACATGCCTATGGTGAGGGAAAGGTTGTAGTCTCTCTGTGGCTACAGCCATTCCTCCGAAGGCCATAAGAGGTCTGGGTACTCTCTTTTACACAGACAAAATTAGAATTCGCATCCCCTAGGATAAATGGTGATGGAAGTGGGTGTCTGGTAAACAAGACTTATAAATGATGCTGCATGAATTAATTCAATGTATACTCACTGTTAAGCCTTTAAACACTGAACTAAATATCCTTTTTATCTGTGTGAATTAATTTGGAAAATGGTACAGTCTTGAGTTCATTTGCAGACTCTTTGGGCCATCAATATCACAAGTATTGAACTTTTGGCCAAGTTAGGGCTTGCAGAATTGGTGTTGGTTTGATATGGGCTCATAATCCTATATATACAATATCATTCAGATTATCCTCTGATCCTTTCTGGGAAAAAAAAAAAACGATGAGAACACATTCACTTTCAGTTGCTGAGGCCCAGGAGTGTCCTCTTCTGGAGAAGATGGGTGGTTAGGGAAGACTTTCCCTGCCTTCTTTCCATCGGTTTCTGTACATACACTCAAGCCATCAAAATGAACATTATAATTCAAGAAAAAGCTGAGCTGGACTGGCATGTGGACGTCAAGGCAATTCTCTCAGCTGTAGGATTGCTGCCCCTAGACCCTCTGATACCAGCAATCTAGACCAGCCTGTAAGTACCCTTCAGGTTCAGACAAGGACCCCACAGTCTCCTCCTTCCTTTCTAGTGGGGATTTCCAGACAGTGAGATTTCTCACTCTAGTTTCTTTTCCCCCTCAATGAGTACCTGGCAATGTCTTAAGGAATTCTCTGCAGACAGGGTTTGAAGTTAGTTGTAAAGAAAGCTGGAAAAGAATGATCAGAGTGGGCCTTAGCTCCCTCGGACATTTCTGTTCTAGGCCTCATATGAATACACTAAGCATATGATAAGGAGGGGGTGGTATATCAGAATGATTATGAACTCTGAATCTGGACAATGCTGGCTCTCTTACTTCCTGGCTGTGTGTGACCTTGGGCAAGTTACTTAAAACTATTTTCAAGAAATTGATAGAGAAGCCCAGGGTCACACACTTACTATTTGATGATGTCAGAACTATAACCCAGGCCAATTGTACCTTAGTCTAGTGATATGTCAATTCTTTACACTGCTTTTAAGACTACTTGTCAATACCTTGGTAGCTGAGTTCAAATGAATACAGATTTCTTAGAAATACTAGTATTTGGGTTTTTTAAACAATTATTTCAGGTGAATGTTAGCCCCAGGTAGTTATAAATTATAATATTTAGCTGCACTAATAACATATTCTTTGCAAACACCCACCCACAAGACACTTCTCTAGGGGTTTCTGTGTGATCTCTTTAAACAGGTTTCACTGACTATTAGGAATCACCTGCTTTACATACCACGGAGGGAGTCCCAGTGAGGATTACTTCTCTGATAAAAGGGCAGGGTTAGGGGTACCTGGGTGGCTCAGTTGGTTAAGTGTCTGCCTTCACCTCAGGTCATGATCCTGGAAGAAGCCTTCTTCTCCCTCTCCCTTGCTGCTCCCCGTGCTTGTGCTCCATTTCTCTTGCTCTCTATTTCTCAAATAAATAAAGTCTTTAAAAAAAAAAAAAAGGCTGGGTTAGGGAGGGAGTTGGGAACTCAATTCTAATGTCTGAGCAGCCTTATTTCTTATTTTATTTCTTATTTTTATTTCAGTATTTGATATGGTAATGTTACACTAGTTTCAGGTATACAACTTAGTGATTTGACAAGTTTATACATTATACTATGTTCACCACAAGTGCAGCTGCCATTGGTCATGTTACATCCCTATTACAATATTGACTGTATTCCTTAGGTTGTGCCTTTTACTCCCATGACTTACTCATTCCATAACTGGAGGCTTGTAACTTCTTCATCCAATTTGTCCAACCCCTCACTCTTTCCCCTTTAGCAACCATCAGTTTGTTCTATTTATAGATGTGATTCTGCTTTTTGTTTGTTTATTCATTTTTTTGAGATTCCACTTGAGAGTAGTATCTGCCCTTTTCAGTATGACTTATTTCAGTTAGCATAATACCCTCTAGGTCCATCCATGTTGTCTCAAATGGCACAATCTCTTCCTTTTAATGGTGGTGTTATATTTCATTATACATATATTTTTTACACCTTCATCTAATGATGTGCACTTAGGTTGTTTCCATATCTTGGCTGTTGTAAACAATGCTGCAATAAATATAGGAGTGCATATGTCTTTTTGAATTAGTGTTGTTTTCTTTGGGTAGATACCCAGTAGTGAAATTATTAGATCATACATTATTTCTGGGTTTTTTTGGACAAACCTCCATATTGTCTTCCACAGCAGTTATGCTAATTTACATTTCTACCAACAGTGCACAACGGCTCCTTTTTCTCCACATCCTCACTGACACTTGTTATTTCTTGTCGCTTTGATTTTAGCCATTCTTACTGTTGTAAGGTGATATGTAATTGTGGTTTTGATTCGAATCTCCCTGATGATGAGTGATATTGAACATCTTTTCAAGTGTCTGTTGGCCATCTGTCTTCTATGGAAAATTGCCTATTCAGTTTCTCTGCCCACTTTTTCTTAAAGATCTATTTATTTATTTGACAAAGGGAGAGCACAAGTAGGCAGAGAGGCAGGCGTGGGCGGTGGCGGGGGCGGGGGGAAGCAGGC